TTTATCTCAATACAGTGAAATATCTGGCGTGACAGTGAACTTGTTAATAAGTAAATGTTGTTCAAATTATGTCGTGTTTGAAGAAAAATTTCGGGATAAAAAGACGTAAAATTAAAAAAGTTGGTATTTAAATCGTTTGGTTGCCTCGACTCACGTTTCATCCTTATCTTTCATTCGCTGTTCTTGTCTACGTTCGGCAAACTACAAAGGTGGGCGCGAGGCTCGAAAACGTAGTCCCTGACTCTACAAGTGTCAGGTTTAGCTTCCTTGCGGACTGACACTTGTGGAGAATTTACTGTATTGCCATTAGCTTTCGCCAATCTTGGCACCGCGTGTTAACCGAGGAGCAAAACTTGAAAAAAGCAAATGATGTGTCAGGTTGATTAGCTTTCGCTAATCTTGGCACCGCGTGTTAACCGAGGAGCAAAACTTGAAAAAAGCAAATGATGTGTCAGGTTGAAATTAACGAGTGTCATTTTGGAAGTTTTGTGACGAGTTAATTCGTTTTGCGCGTTGAAGAAGCTTGTCATTCCCAGTTAAAGGGTTAAAACGCGAGATACCCGCGGATACGAAGGGGTTAAGGAAGAATTTGTAAACATTTTTAAGAAATGATATGTTTAAGTGTTTAGTATTAGGAAGTATTTATTTTTTTAATAAGTCAGTTGATGTTACGTGTGAAATTTTCGTTTTCCTAACTGTTTCGTTGCCTAATAATTAATTTGTACTGTGACGTATCGTCGTTTCAATGGCAAGCAACAGCCGAAACATAATTCTTCCGAAGAGACGAAAACCAGTTTATCAATTGACGTAAAATTATCATTCTAACACTAAATTTGCATATTAACTTTGTCGCATTGTACGTTGAGGACAAACTCGAGCTCAGATTCGCAAAAATTGTAATTTACCCTTGGAACGACGACTTTTCATCGGGTAAATTTAACGACAAGAAAGAATTTGTGTTTAATTTTCTTAATAAGTAGAAATTCACTTATTTTTTAAGCTCACTCCTTGTTTCATACAGAAAACTAGTTTGTAACGAAAAAATTCAACGAATGTTATGTTTTACTGTAAACTGATCGTTTACTATTGTGTAATAAGAGAATAAATGCTGCGAAGAAAAAAAACAAATTTCTCTCTGGTATAGTTCAACGTGTTACAGAATACGGCGTTATTTTTGCAGGTTGCACTGGGAAATAATGGGAGTGTAACTCGGTGCAAAAGGTAGAACGAACGTTAAAAGTCCGAATCGGAGTTTCGATAATTTATTCATGCGGTTTCACGGAACAGAAATCTACTTCGGAACTGGCCACCGTAAAATTTAGACGTCCGTGTTATTTGGAATTATAAGAAATTAATGACCCATGAAACTCGATGCACCGTATGCTTGTCGTTCGCAAAGTTCGAGTGTTGGATCGAAATGCACGGGAGAAATTGGTTTCCATTGTGATCAGATTTGTTCATTTTCCTGTAATTCCTCGCCGACGTTTCCAAGCATTAAAGAAATGAAATAAATTATCCGATGGAAAAAACATATCGAACAATTGGCAGACCAATGAAATTGTCATGTCCTCGTTTGACGTTTCATTTTGAAAATTGAGAAAATTGAAAGCGTCAAATAATACAAAAATTAGAAAATTTACGTAAATCGAATGTGATTCGTTCCTTCAATATTGAATATAATAAAAATAGCGTTGGAGAAATAAGATATTTTCTTGTATTGACGAATTTGTTGGTTCGCGTTATTTTCAATTTTTAAGGGTTCAGACGAGGAAGTAGCCAATTGTTCTATCAAGTTTCACGATACTGTGTAAATAAGAAAGATGCACGAGACACCGATAGCAGTGCAGTTTTCGATAACGTAGGAACAGGAATTAGTGTCCGACAAGTTTTATTAAACTGTTCCCCGAGGCGCCCTGAGAAACTTATTTCGAACAGTGCAGAAACTGAGTTTTTCGGGTCGGACGAAGTTCGAAACTAACTTGTGCAGTGCAGCAGTCATGCAAAAACGACAGATGGCTCGAAGTTCCGAGTAAAACATCAAACTTCCTATAATATATTCGCTTTTTCCAGCTGTCAGGCCACACGTTTCATCCGGGGATCAGACTTCAAAAACTCGGAATTATTTTCGGCGTAAACAATGTTCAACAACTGTCAAATTCGCGTTCGTGTAAACTGAATCACCGTCCACGAATTTATTTAATATCGTGAAAATCGTGGAAAGAGAAGTAGGCATCACTTGCCTTAAAAGTAGAATCCTCTAATAATTACTGCTGCAAATATTTCAAAATAATATTTTTGTACCATTCCTGACAAATTTCTAACGATTAAGAAGACGCTAGCTCGAGTTGTTCGCGCTTTTTGACTTACGTGGCGATAGCGTGTGTGCTGCATATATAATATTTACACGAGGGAGTGTTCCGTAGACTGTCTTTCGTTGAAGTGTGCCGTCGTCGAAGACGAGGCGACCTTTAAGTCAGTGTAGATTTTTCAGATGTGTGTGAAAACTGTGCATGCGTGAGATTTTGTTTAATAACAACCGCAAGTCTGTTCCCTTCGTATTTCTCTTATAACTTCTTAACTCCATAATCTGATTTCTTTTCTGACTGTGCATACAAGGGCGTCAGCCATTTACCGTTTCAGAGTACTGTATTAGGTAACAAAAGCTAATTTGCTAGATTAACCCTACAAATCAGACGCAT